AGAGCACTAGCCTTGAGCTGAAGAGCTGAGGGACAGTGCCCAGGCCCAGAGTCCAGGCCCAGAGTTCAAGCACCATGACTGGCAAAAAACAAAACAAAACAAATAAAATCCTATTACCTAAAAAAAAAGAATGTCTTTTTTAATTAATAAGGTATTGTAATATATAGACAAGTAATCGTTATGTCCTAAAATGAATTTCCATGTATATGTTATATTTTTAGAAAAGTGAGGTATACTTAGAAATAGGTTAATGGTTAAAATAGGTATTTCCTGTTATAAACCTCAGTAGTTTGTTTATTGAAGAATTTGAACCTGTTTTGGGTTATTTTCTGGTGTTTGGCAATGTTGCCTGAGTTACCCTAGAAATAGACTAGACTCAAATCCCTTTCCTTATAGAATTTACATTTTAATAGAAAGGAAAACAATGAAGAAATAGCATTAGCTCATGTTGTGGTAAGTACAATGAAGACAAATAAAGCAGAGTAATGATAAAAAGTGATGGCCATGGATTATTTGAACAGAAATGGATGTGAAGTGAGGGGACAGGCATTTAAAAACTCATATTTTCGGGGCTGGGAAGGTGGCTCAGTGGTAGAGTGCTTGCCTTGCATGCATGAGGCCCTGGGTTCAATTCCTCTGCACCACATGAGCAGGAAAAAAAAGCCAGAAGTAGCGCTGTGGTTCAAGCAGTAAGAGCACTAGCCTTGAGCTGAAGAGCTAATGGACAGTGCCCAGGCTCAGAGTTCAGACCCCACAACCAACCAAAAAAAAAAAAAAGGAATATATAATGAGTCTCTGAACAGGACATATTAGTCAGATTGGTATTTTAAAACACTACCATTTATAATGGAGGATTCAGATTTTGTTTTGTTTTTAGGTTAATTTATGTTAAGTTTATTCCATGAATTGCTTATGAAAATACATCTAACCAGTCCCAAGCTGAGGAATGAATTTATCATTAAAGCTGGGCACTGGTAGCTCTCGCCTTTAATCCTAGCTACTCAAGAGGATGAGAACTGAGGCCCGCAGTTTGAAGTCAGCCCAGGCAGGAAAGTCTAGACTCTTATCTCCAGTTAAATCATAGAAAACTGTGGAAATGGTGCTTGTGCTTAGGTGGTAGACTGCTAGCCTTGATCAAAAGTTGCTCAGGGACACCCCTCAGGCTCAAAGTTCAGGCCTCCAGACCAGGCCAGAAAAAAAGAAGAACTTATCAGATTCTAGACATCAACCGACCTTACCTTACAAAAACTGAAGTACAAGGCTGGGAATGTGGCTTAGTGGTAGAGTGCTTGCCTAGCATGCACAAAGCCCTGGGTTCGATTCCTCAGTACCACATGAACAGAAAAAGCTGGAAGTGGCACTGTGGCTCAAGTGTAGAGTGCTAGCCTTGAGTAAAAAGAAGCTCCTGGCTGGGCAACAGTAGCTCATGCCTATAATCCTAGCTACTCTGGAGGCTGAGATCTGAGGATCATGGTTCAAAGCCAGCCCAGGCAGAAAAGTCCTGAGACACTTACCTCCAATAAACCACTAGAAAACCGGAAGTGGTGCTGTGGCTCAAGCAGTAGAGCGCTTGCCTTGAGCTGAAGAGCTGAGGAACAGCGCCCAAGCCCAGAGTTCAAGCCCTACGACTGACCAAAAAAAAAAAAAAGAAGCAGCAGCAGCAGCTCTGGAATAGTGCCCAGGCCCAGAGTACAAGCCCCAAGACTGGGGGAAAAAAGTGAAGCACAGTTGAGGTAAAAAATAATTGCCATGTAAAAGGAAAGGAAAACAAAATAAAGAAAATCAATTATAAACATATTGCTGAACACCAGTGGCTCATACTTGTAATCCTAGCTACTCAGGAGGCTGAGATCTAAGGATCACAGTTCAAAACCAGCCCTGGCAGGGAAGTCTATGAAACTCTTATCTCCAGTAAACTACTCTGAAAAAGCTAGAAGTGGAACTGTGGCTCAAGGGATAGAGTGCTAACCTTGAGAACGAAAGCTCAGGGACAGTGCCCAGGCCCAAAGTTCAAGCCGTAGGATTGGTGGGGGAAATCGAAAATGTAAGGTTCTTTCTGTCCACATTTATGATAAGCAACAGTTTTAAGAAATGGTTAGGCTATAGGGACAGGGAAGGTGGCTCAGTGGTAGAGCGCTTGCCTTGCATGCCTGAGGCCTCAATCCCTCAGCACCACATAAGCAAAAAGAAAAAAGCCAGAAGTGGTGCTGTGGCTCAAGTGGTAAAGCGCTAGTCTTGAGCTGAAGAGCTGAGGGACAGCGCGCAGGCCCAGAGTTCAGGCCCCATGACCGTACCCCCATCCCTCCCCCCAAAAAAAATGGTTAGGCTATATTCTAATGGGCTAAGGAATTGTGACTTATAATGCTTTTCTTTTTTTTTGTTTGTTTTTTGTTGGTCATGGGGCTTGAACTCTGGACCTGGGCACTGTTCCTCAGCTCTTCAGCTCAAGACTAGTGCTCTACCAGTTGAGCCACAGCACCACTTCAGGTTTTCTGGTGGTTTATTGGAAATAAGATTCTCATGGCCTTTTCTTCCTGGGCTGGCTTTGAACCATGATCCTCAGATCTCAGCCTCCTGAGTAGCTAGGATTACAGTATTACAGGCATGAGCCACTGTGCCCGGCTTTGCTTTTCAGATTTTTCTGCTGCTAGAAACATACAATGTAGCAGAACCATTGTAGCTTATAATTCTTAACCTCTGATATCTAGATGTGATGAGAATCTTATGATCATTCTTCTTAATTACTTGTTTCTATTTAAATGGAATGCCCAAAAGAATTCTAATTTAAGAGTTGAAACTACTGACCAGACATTGGTAGCTTATATCTGCAATCCTAGCTACTCAGGAGGCTGAGTTCTAGGATCATGGTTCAAAGCCTGGCTGGGCAGGAAACTTTGTACAGACTCTTATCTCCAATACTAAAAAGCCAGAAG